TATGTTGGAGGATTGGATGTGAGCTACGAGGAAGGAGAAAAGAGGAGCAAAGGTGCCTGGAAACTTCTGAGCAGCTGGCAGGAGGGGCTGTCATTCACTGGTCCAGGGAGTTTGTTCAAGGCACCCCCTGTGTGAGCTGCTCACGCCAGGCCCAGAGCCCGGAACCAGACAGAGCAGGATCCCTTCATTTCTGTGAAATTTCTTACTTTAAGCTTGACATGGTGAAGAGGAGGGAGAGCTTTCTCTGACGGGCAGGACTGTCCCCTTGCCAAAGATGGGAGGTTGAGGCTTCTTAGAACTCCCTGGGGCCACCTCCAAGGTAGACTTTGTTCCCTGGCCTTCCTATGATCTGGTGTCTGTCTCCCTCAGCCTGGGAGTTGCTGTGCCGGCAGGGCCTGCTGCGTGAGCTGGCGCATGTCCCAAGGCCTTGGGGGTCTGGGTTGGGCACAGGTAGGCCAGGGGTTCTTAGCTTTCTCCCAAGCCCAGTCTGTCTCCCCTTGCAGCGGCTGATCGACAAGACTAAGGTGACATACCTGAAGTGGCTCCCTGAATCGGAAAGCCTGTTCCTGGCGTCTCACGCCAGTGGCCACCTCTACCTGTACAACGTCAGCCATCCCTGCGCCTCGGCCCCTCCCCAGTACAGCCTGCTGAAGCAGGGCGAGGGTTTTGCTGTCTATGCTGCCAAGAGCAAGGCGCCCCGCAACCCGCTGGCCAAGTGGGCAGTCGGCGAGGGGCCCCTCAACGAGTTTGCCTTCTCACCTGATGGCCGACACCTGGCCTGCGTCAGCCAGGATGGCTGCCTGCGTGTCTTCCACTTCGACTCCATGCTCCTGCGGGGGCTCATGAAGAGCTACTTTGGGGGCCTGCTGTGCGTGTGCTGGAGCCCTGATGGCCGGTATGTGGTGACAGGAGGTGAAGATGACCTGGTCACCGTGTGGTCCTTCACTGAGGGACGGGTGGTGGCTCGGGGCCATGGCCATAAGTCCTGGGTCAATGCTGTGGCCTTTGACCCCTACACTACACGAGCAGAGGAGACCACAACAGCGAGTGCTGATGGGGATCGGAGTGGTGAAGAGGAAGAGGAGCCCGAGGCCACCCGCACCGGCTCGAGTGGGGGAGTCCCACTGTCCCCGCTGCCCAAGGCTGGCTCCATCACCTACCGCTTTGGTTCGGCGGGCCAGGACACACAGTTCTGCCTGTGGGACCTCACCGAAGATGTGCTCTCCCCGCACCCGCCCCTGGCCCGCACTCGCACGCTCCCTGGCACGCCCGGAGCCACGCCACCTGCCACGGGCAGCTCTCGGGGTAGTGAGCCAGGCCCAGGCCCCCTGCCCCGCTCCCTGTCTCGCTCCAACAGCCTCCCCCACCCGGCAGGTGGTGGCAAGGCCAGCGGCCCAGGCACAGTGGCAGAGCCCGGCACTCCATTCAGCATCGGCCGCTTTGCCACCCTCACGCTGCAGGAGCGACGGGACCGGGGGTCCGAGAAGGAACACAAGCGCTACCATAGCCTGGGCAATATCAGCAGAGGCGGCGGGGGAGGCAGTGGCAGTGGCGACAAGCCCAGCGGCCCCGCCCCCCGTAGTCGCCTGGACCCTGCCAAAGTGCTGGGCACCGCGCTGTGCCCACGCATCCATGAGGTGCCACTGCTGGAGCCCCTTGTGTGTAAGAAGATCGCCCAGGAGCGGCTGACGGTGCTGCTGTTCCTGGAGGACTGCATCATCACCGCCTGCCAGGAGGGCCTCATCTGCACCTGGGCCCGGCCCGGCAAGGCGGTGAGTCGCCGGCCCGCAGGAGGATGCTCTTTGGGAAGAGGCGGGTGTGGGCAGAGGGTTTGTCATGGCACAGCCTCTGGCCACGTGGGATAAGGGCAAGCGTGGAGATCTTAAGTGTCGCAGAACAGGACCTCTGAGGCTTAGGGTTGGCTTCTAGAGCCCTGGCCTTCAGTCAGCAGAGAAGGCCAAGAATGAGAGGGAAGGTGGCAGGGCCATGGCCACCTACTGAAAGAATAGGCAATGGTCCCAGCATGGCTCAGTCTTAGTGCTTGCCACTTGAACTAGAAGCTATTTCTATGGAAAATCTGGATTTTAAATGTTGAGCTTTGTAAAGTACTTTGGGCCAATATTCCAGGGGCGAGTTGAGCGGGGGGCCTGGCTCTGGCCTGGGTACTGGGCTCTGAGCATCTGAGCCCACTGCAAACTCTGGGCTGGCAGTTAGACCCAGGGCCCAGGCCTGCAGTTCTGCTCCCTGTGCGATCCCAGGCAAGTCACCACCCTTCTTTGAGTACTCATTACCTCTTAGGGCAGAGTGCTTTTCAGATGGCCTGTGGTGAATGCCCCCACCTCTAGGGTGGCTGTGGGGTTTAGGCACCTTGTGAGTGTGGAGCTGGTCTTGGTGTCTTGTCTCCCTAGGGTTTGGGCATAGTACCTAGGATCCCAGATCTGAGGGTTGCCACTCGGATCCTTGGGGCCTTGGTTTCGGAAGCTTAGAGTTCTGCATCCCTGGAACCCAACAGCAGTCTCAGAGGCAGGGGTGGGGGGGCTTGGGGAGTCGGACTAAGTCCTAAAAGAGACCCCTCTGTCTCCCTAGTTCACAGACGAGGAGACCGAGGCCCAGGCAGGGGAAGGAAGTTGGCCCAGGTCACCCAGCAAGTCAGTGGTAGAGGTAGGACTGTCCCTGAGTTCTTTCTCCTCCAGCATCTCAGGGGTTCATGTCAGAAGTCCCCCCTCCATTCAGCCCCTGTCCCATCATCTGCCCAGGATTACCGAGGACTTGAATTATTTTATCGGAGTGCCGACTGCCGCGACAGGGAAGTTAGCTGAGCTGTGTGTGCCCCAGCCTAGGGTGGCAGCCTCAGATCTGGGGTGGACTGAGGGGCAGGGCCAGGGTGGCAGCAGCCTTGAGGACTCCTGGCTGGCTCCTTGTGTGGGCATAAGCAGAAGTCCCAGCTGTTTCTAACCTCTCCCATCTCCCTCTCATCTTCCCCAGGGCATCTCCTCCCAACCAGGCAACTCCCCAAGTGGCACAGTGGTGTGAAGCCGTGGATGTCGGGGGTCCCCCACCCCATGCCCCCAACCTCCTAGCCATAACCCTCCCTGCTGACCACGGATCAACATATTAACAAGACTAACCATGATGAAAGGACTGTTCCAGCCCCCCGCCCTGCACAAATATCGGGGGTCCCCCAGACTGGCCCACATATGGGGGATGTAGCAGCCCATGGGGCCTCAACCTTGTCCCCACCCACTGCCAAGTACAATGACCCCTTCCATTGAAACATCAGTGTTAACCCACATCCCTGTCCCCAGCATGTGACTGGTCATTCCTGGGGAGAGCCTCCCCACCACAAGGAGCTCCAGCTCTGCAGTGCCCCTGGGCTGAGGGGGCAGGGGGCTTCCACCCTCTGGCCCTCACCCTAGCCCACCTCCCCTGCTATTGTCTGTGCTTTTGAAGAGTGTTAAATTATGGAAGCCCCCAGGGCCCTCCTTGTCCCCCATGACCTCTTATTTATACTAAAGTTCCCTGTTTGCACAGCGCTGGGTCCCCTCTGCGAGTGAGAGGAAGTGTGTGTGTGTGTGTGTTTGGCTGCTACAAAAGGAAGCAGCTGCCAGGCCTGCCTCCCTCAGCCTGGGGAGGGACAGGGAAGACAGGGTCCACTGCACATGGAGGTGGCACCTTGTGGGGGGCCTGTGGGAGAAGAGTATCTGATTACTCGGTGTCTTGAAGGGGACAGCAGGGGCCCCTCTTTGTCAGTGGGATTTTGAAAGTTGTTTTAAAGTATCACAGCCACTCCAGGGCATGCCCAGAAGCCCAGTCCCCAGGCAGCTCCCAAGGTTCCCTGTGAATACCCTGAGCTACCTTGGGACAGGTCTTTACTGCCCGATGCCTCGGGCCTGGCCCTGCCTTGGCCCGGTATCCAGTGCCACTGGAGGCTGTGATTTCCTCTGGAGAGAACTGTCCACCCTGAAAAGACAGACTGATTCCTCCTGGCCACCTCTCAGAGCCTCAGGGAGTGGCGCCTTCCCGCTCCACCCCCGACATGTTTCTGTTTCTAATCCCAGCCCGGGCAGGAATGTGGCCACCAGGCCAGGGGCCAAGGAGCTATTTTGGGGTCTCCTTTGCCTGGGGAGGGCCTGGCCACATCACTTTCCTCCCCCAGCCTTTGGACAGCAGGTCACCCCTGGCCCTGGCTTCTGAGAGCATCCCCTCCCGATTCTCTCCTTACCACCCCTTCCCCACCTCCCGCCAAAGAGAAAGCGTGAAGCAGAGGGCCCAGGGGCTAAATTTAACTGTCCCAAAGTTGGATTCCACTGCTGAGTCACAAGAAAGGCTGCTCTGGCCTCCAGCCCCCCTTCCCAGGCCTCAACCCCTTTCGCCTCCCCCCCACGCCGCAGTGCTGGGGCTTGGCAGGAGCCAGGGGGGTAGGTCCTGGGTCACGGAGCCTCGATTGGCCCCTCTGGGCAGTGGGAGGGCTCTTCTGGACCTCGTTCACACTAGCTTTCCCCAGGCTCCACCTTTTTATTGGGGGTGCAAGTTAAGATTCTCAGTTCCCGCAGTCTGGCACCACAGTGTTCTGAGGGGTGCTGGAAGGAGAGTTGGGGTGTTGGCTCTTGAGGGGTTAAAGCTGGGAGGCGGGAGGAGGGCTGGACAAAGGGGTGGGGAGAAAAGTAGGAGGCCTCAGCTGCAGAGAAGTGGCCAGAGGCCCAGGGGACAGTCAGGGCAGGCAGACATGCGGCCAGGACTCCGGGGCCTGGACAGGGTCTGCCAGGCCCCGTGACAGGAGGACCCCGTGCCCCGGCCCGGGGAAGGGCCATGGTGCTGTCTGCCCAACATGTCAGCCGAGGTGCGGCTGAGGCGGCTCCAGCAGCTGGCGCTGGACCCCGGCTTCCTGGGGCTGGAGCCCCTGCTCGACCTTCTCCTGGGCGTCCACCAGGAGCTGGGTGCCTCCGATTTGGCCCAGGACAAGTATGTGGCCGACTTCTTGCAGTGGGGTGAGTGCTGCCTGTGTGGCCCCCGTGGGTGGGGTGGGGACAGGGGCCTGGCTCTTAAGGAGCGGGACAAACATGGAGAGATCTTGCACGGAGGCCCAGAGCTTGGACCTGGGTTCTGGGGCAACATGCCCCTACCCACTGTGCCACCCTAGCAGGGCAGAGTAAGGCCAGCAGAGGCCAGGGCAGCCGTGACTCCGAGCCATGGCTGGGGAACCATGGCAGGCTAGGCTGGGCCTGGCCTCCTGTTTTCTTCCTGCTCCTTCTGCCCCAGTCCAGAGCTAGGACATGTTTGCAGCCATCTCCTAGGACCCTCTCCCCCAAATGGCTTCTATGGTCCTCTACCCTGGTTCCCAAAGTGCAGGGGTTAGCCAAAAGGGATAGCATGGGCAGCTGCCAGGGGTGTAGCTGACAGGCAGGTGCTCGGCGCCAGCCTTTCCAGCTGCCCCAACAGGTGCCCAGGCACCCGAGAGGGTGCAGTGACTCACAGGCCCTGAGGAAGAGCCAGCTCTGCAGACAGGCGCCACTAGATCCCCATCCTCCTGGTTGAGGAGAAACAACTTGGGGTTGTTCCCTTTCTCCCTGGGTTCTGTGATGCCACCCTATCCCCCATATATTGGTCCCTGCTAGCCTGGGTGGGCCAACCCGTGCTCCCTGCCAGCTCCTGCCTCCTTTGGTGGTCCTATTTCAGGGCCTCTAACCCTCTAGCTGTTCTACAAAGACCCTTTTCAAAAGGTCTTCCCAGGACCTGGGGACAAGTCTGGGGGGGGAAATGCCCCATGGCCAGTTTCCTGCCCCCATGCAACACCCAGCACAGTTTCAAGCTCTCTTTAGTTGCTGTCACCTCAATACCTTGTCGCTTTGTCACTCCACATGCCTGTTCCCCAGTGTCTTGCTGTTGGCCCTTGGCCTGTGTGCCCTTCTCGGTCATTGTCTGAACCTTTCCCAACTCCCTTTGGTCCCCTATCCTTATGATTCAGGGCCTGCTCTTCTCCTCCTCTCCCATTTCACAGATGGGAAGGTGGAGGCCAAAGGCTAGGCCACTCAGTCTCTGGAAGACCCTCCCCTCCCCACCCCTTTCCTCTGTGACTCTCTCGGTCTCCCTTTTACGAGTGTAAAGCTGGCTGGCAGGGTAAACTGAGATCTGGGATGGGGGCAGGGGTCTGGCTCTCCTGGAAGAAGCAAGTCCTTTTGTGGCCTGAGCTGCATCCTGCAGCCCCTCCCCTGCCAGGCTTCCAGGGTGGGGGAGGGGGCCTGGGTTCCTGCTGCCTTAAAAGGGCTCAATGTCTTGGCGCTCTCCTCCCTCCCTCGTCCTCCCCTTGGCCGGTTCTTCCCTGTGGGCCCACTTTCCCTGAACCCCCTCTCTCACCTCCACAACCTACTCAATTTCCCCTCTTTAATGCCCATACCCATCCCTTTTCCACCCTGCCTGCCAGGTTCTGGCTTCTTCCACCCTGTGGGAGGCCAGGCCTCCCTCTGAACCTCCCACTGCCCCTGAACCTCGGCCTCCACTCCTGGCCAGTACCCCTTGCTGCTGAGCCTTTCTAGCCATAGGCCCTCCTCAGCTGGAGCCCTCCTGCTGCCTTCCGGGAGGACTGCTGGACGCCCTTCCAACAGTGCCCCAGCTGTGCCTTGGCACTGGTGTCCCCTCTTTCAGGCCTCCTACCTCCAAATTCTGTTTCTCAAAATGTGCTTCGAGAAACACAGCACCTCATCTAGACTGCTGGACACAGCTGCAGCTCTGGGTCATAGCCAAAGACATACAAAATGAAAAGTTTGGGATTGGGGACGGGGACCGGAGACGGCACCTTAATCATCATCCAGAGTGAGGGTGGAGGGCCTGAGGCTCGGGGGTCTGGAAATGGGCTGTCTCTGCACCTGCTCTTCAAGGCTTCCGATCCGGGGCATGTGCTGCCCAGCTCTTCCCACCTTGCATCCTCTGGCCCAAGCCCTGTGCCAAAAACAGGTCCCCAGTCATCTCTCCTCCACGGGAGGGTCCCAGAACATCACATGGTGTTTATGTGGGAGAGCTACAGTGGAGCTGAGGGGCAGGGAGAAGGGGAGACTGAAGGACAGACCCTTGTCCATCCAAGTGACCCTCTGTTTTTCCTCTACTGCAGCGGAGCCCATTGCAGCGAGGCTTAAGGAGGTTCGACTGCAGAGGGATGACTTTGAGATTCTGAAGGTGATTGGACGCGGGGCATTCAGCGAGGTGAGTCCTGAGTGGCCCCGTGGGCCAGCACTCTATTTGCTGTGGGTGGGGCACAGGAGCTGGAGCAGGGCCTGAGAAATTGATGAATGGACTGAATGTTAGAACCTAAGACTGAGCCTGGGCTGGAGGCGGGGCTTGAGGCCCAGGGGCGTGGCGTGGCCACTGCAGGGTGAGGCCGCAGCTGGGTGAAGATGGTGGTGGAGTCTGGTCCAGGCCCTTTGGTTTTCCCAGTCATCTGGGCTACTCTCAGTCCCTGTGTTTCCGCCTGCAGGTAGCAGTGGTGAAGATGAAGCAGACGGGCCAGGTGTATGCCATGAAGATTATGAATAAGTGGGACATGCTGAAGAGAGGAGAGGTGGGGGCCCGGGCTGGGGGTGTGGGGGGGAGGGTACAGGATCTGCTCTCCTGGCCCTTAGCTCCTCCGGGTGTCACACAGGTGTCGTGCTTCCGAGAAGAGAGGGATGTGTTGGCAAATGGGGACCGGCGCTGGATCACGCAGCTGCACTTCGCCTTCCAGGATGAGAACTACCTGGTGAGTTCGGTGGGGAGAGGAAGTGGCGGGCCTGGGGCGGCTGCCCCTGCACGCCTGTGAGAGTCTGTCTCGGTAGGAACGCGTCTCAGGTAGAGGAGGGGGTGGGAGGTGATGTCCGCAGTGCCCCTTTCCTGGCGATTCTGGGTGTTTGTGTGAAGAGCCTGTTGGAGGGAACTTCCCTGGAGTGAGAGCGCTCTGCAGCATTTCCGGAGCAAGGCTGGGAGTATCTGGGATCTATCTTCTGAGCCTTGGGAGGTCTTTTTTCCCTTAGTGTCTCTGGGAGGGGGAGCGGATCTGTCCTGGGACATCCTGGGAGGGTCTCTGATTTGGCCTTGAAGAGCTTTAGGGTTTCTCTGGTATGGGGCTGCGAGGACTCTACTCAGGAACGGGTGGCTCTGGGAGTCCTTGCCTCTGGGGATCAGAGATTGGTGCCTAGGGAGGGCTGCTGATTCCCATGACGCGCCCCCTCTCAGTACCTGGTCATGGAGTACTACGTGGGCGGGGACCTGCTAACGCTGCTGAGCAAGTTTGGGGAGCGGATCCCGGCCGAGATGGCGCGCTTCTACCTGGCCGAGATTGTCATGGCCATAGACTCAGTGCACCAGCTGGGCTATGTGCACAGGTGGGCGTGGCAGGGGCTGAGGGGCAGGGCCTGGGCGGGGCCCTGAGAGGGACAGCCGGGCTTGTATGGGAAGGGTCCTGGAAGATGGAACCCAGAGCTGACCGGTCTACAGAAGGACCGCTTCACCTCTGTTGGGGCTCACTGGGGGCGGGGCCTGGGGAGTGAGATCCAGAACGGCAGAACCCTCACAGGGGCGGAACCCTAGGTGCGGCACTAGGCAGAACTGCCCAAAGGGGCGGAGCCTGGCGAGATAAAGACTCAACATTCTTCCCTCTTCCCTCTGCATAGGGACATCAAGCCAGACAACATCTTGCTGGACCGCTGCGGCCACATTCGCCTGGCAGACTTTGGTTCCTGCCTCAAACTGCGGGCTGATGGAACGGTGAGCAACTCCGCCCACCAATGAGGGGACGTGGAGGTGCGGTGTGGGGGCGGGACTAAATTTAGAGGCTGGAGAAGGAAGGAAGCTACCCTGGACCAAGTGTGTCCTCTAGCGCAGGGTTGGACAGGTCAAGGAGGTGGGAGGGGAGGGAGCACACATTGGGTTAGGAGGTGGTCAAGAGGACTGCTCTGGTCCTGTTGGCACAGGTGCGGTCCCTTGTGGCTGTGGGTACCCCGGACTACTTGTCTCCAGAGATCCTGCAGGCTGTGGGCGGCGGCCCTGGGACAGGCAGCTATGGGCCTGAGTGTGACTGGTGGGCGCTGGGTGTGTTCGCCTATGAAATGTTTTACGGGCAGACGCCCTTCTACGCCGACTCTACGGCTGAGACTTACGGCAAGATTGTCCACTACAAGGTGAGCTCAGCCACAGCGACCCGTTGCCGCTCCACAACTGCTCCCAGGCCACCATCTCTTCTTTCACTCTTCCTCTGAGCAGGAGCACTTGTCTCTGCCACTGGCAGACACTGGGGTCCCAGAAGAGGCTCGAGACCTCATCCAAGGTCTGCTGTGTCCCGCGGAGATAAGGCTAGGACGTGGTGGAGCAGACGATTTCCGGAAGCATCCTTTCTTCTTTGGCCTTGACTGGGAGGGACTTCGAGATAGCCTGCCCCCCTTTATTCCGGACTTCGAGGGTGCCACCGATACTTGCAACTTTGACGTGGTGGAGGATGGGCTCACTGCCATGGTGAGCGGGGGCGGGGTAGGTATCTGCGGCCCCTGTTCGGCCCCTGTTCGGCTGAGGGAAGCTCCCCATCCCCCTTCCATAAAATTGGGGTAATTTACAGTGCCTACCTCTGGGGTTCCGAGTCGTTCATTCCCTGGAGTACCTGCTGTGCCCACCCAGTGCTCGGGACCCAGTCCAAATGGGGAATACAGTCCAGTCCCCAGAGTTATCAGGGCTGAGATGGAGTACAGAGGGCTGGGCTCTTGACCCAGAGGGAAGGTGCTGGAGGGTTTCCTGGAGGAAGGGGCTATCTGAACTAATTCCTGGAGGAATGAGAGGAGAGAGGCAGGAGAGGAAGCTTCCTTCCTTCCTTTGTCCATCTCGCCTTTTCTCTCTCTCTCTCTCTTTTTTTTTGGTACCAGGGATTGAACCAGGGATGCTTAACCACTGCCACATCCCCAGCCCTTTTATTACAGACAGGGTCTCGCTGAGTTGCTTAGGGCCTTGCTAAGTTGTTGAGGCTGGGTTTGAACTCGAGGTCCTCCTGCCTCAGCCTCATGTACCACAGTACCCAGCTGCCCTTTTCATTTTTTATTTTGAGATAGGGTCTTGCTAAGTTACCCACGCTGTCCTGGAACTTGAGATTCTCCTGCCTCAGCTTCCTGAGTAGCTGGGCCTGGTGTCAGTTTAACAAGCTGCCCCTGAATCCTTCACTCAGGCCCAGGTGCCCTTCTATTGGGCAGTTCTGGAGACATAGCACTGACCAAGTCAGCTCTGGCCCCTGCCCTCATCCACTTACACCCCAGAGAAGGCTGTGATTAGAGTGTGGTGAGGGCCTTGAAGGGGAAGCAACAGGCGACTAGAAAAAATGATGGGGAGGTCATTTTAAATGATCCTGGAGTTGGAGCACACCTAAGCCATGACAACAAAGACAACTGTTGGGCCATGATGACCAGCAGTTGTCAGGGACCAGCCCTGGTAACTGCTGGTCACATCTGTGTGTCCCTTGTGTGTAGGAAACACTGTCGGACATTCCGGAAGGTATGCCGCTGGGGGTCCACCTGCCTTTTGTGGGCTACTCCTACTCCTGTATGGCCCTCAGGTAAGTGCACCTGTGCAGCATGTGAGGTGTAGGAGGGTGCCGGCCTGCAGAGGCCCGAGGAGGAGGCTCAGGACCACTGTGTCCAGGCTTATTGGTGACCCATCGGTTTGTGGGATCAGTAGTCTTTTTTCTTTTTGCAGGATCATTTTAGGACAAAGCACTCTTAGGAACCCTAAAGTACTTTAACATTTTAGATTCAATTGCAAAACCTTAGAGCCCGTAGGCTTGGTCTTCCAGAATTCTGCAACCCTAGACTTTTACATTTCTAGTACTCAGAGTCAGGGGTAAAATAAGCTTGGAATTTTACAATCAATTTTAACAGAATATAGTCATGTAACAATAAAGCCTTTAAAAAGCATCAATTATGTAAATGAGACTGCTTATCACAAGTAAATTAAGAAATAAGATTAAGGAAGAGGAAGCTTGCATCTGAGCCCACCATTCAGCGACATCCCTGCCTCGAAGCTGGCAAACATGTTTATCCACTGTGAGAACAGGTTGCTTCCTAATCTGCAAACGGCATCCCTTATCAGTCATGAGCATGTCTAGTCTCCTCCTCACCTTATCAGTCATGAGCATGTCTAGTCTCCTCCTCACCGCAGGTCAGGTCAGGTCAGGTCAGGTCAGCTTTAACACATCCTGTTACAACCCAGGCTGCTACAAACCCCTGACTCTGAGTACTACAAACAGCCAACAGGTTGGTCTCAGAGCTTGTCCAGGGTACATAGGTCCTTGAGGCATATTCCCATGGGAGAGATTGCTGGTCAAAGGACGCCACTTTTATTGAAAGTTCATATTCTTAGGAGATCTCTGCCCTACACCCCCTCCCAGCAGCTGAGCATGAGGGGGTGTCCTAATAGCTTCAGTCACAATCTGGGGAATCCCACATCCAGTCTTATGACCACATCTTTGGAGGTGCCCAGAACTTGGCAGGGTCTTCCTCATTAGGACCCCTTCCCTATTCTGAGATCCTAAGGAGAGAGGTATGCAAAGGTGATGGGGTTAAGGGAGGGAATGTACAGACCCTGGAACATGGTGTCTGGGCCCCATTTCCATACATAAGAAAGGGCAGCTCCCAGGGGTCTGAGGCCACATGCAAGACAGAGAAGGGCCCCTTCACTCCCCCTCACCCCTGGTTGAACCAGGGGCCAGCTGCTCCATGCCCTTAGGCCGTGGGTTCCCAGGGCTTGGCAGCCTCTTGGGTAGGAAGGACTCTTCCTCCCCTCTTCCTCTTTGCAGGGACAGTGAGGTCCCAGACCCCACACCAATGGAACTGGAGGCCCAGCAATTGCCTGAGCCACGTGTGCAAGAGCCCAGCGTGGAGCCCAGGGTGCCCCCCCCAGAGGACATGGTGAGTAGCTGAAGGAGAGGCTGGTCAGTTGCAGCAGGAGGGACCCACTGGCACTTGCCAGGTGCCTTGTGCCTCTGGGAATTTAGAGGACAGAAACAGACAAAGCAGCAGAGATAAGGTCACTTCAGTCAAGAGATGGTCCCTATGAGGACATCAGAACTCTGTGTGTGTGTGGGGGGGCTCTGAGGAGTCTGAGCCGAGCATTGATGAAAGAGGCAGGGCCACCCATGGAGAGAAAAGTGTCCCATGGTCAGTAGAGAGAATATCAAGAGCAGAAGCCCTGAGGGGACCCTGCCGGTTATCTAAGGCTGATCTGTTCTGAAAAGTGACAGGAGGGTCAGTCATATGGCTGCATGGGTACATAAGGGGCGGGTGCAGAGACCAGCAGGAAACAAACCAAGCAAGGCCTTTTGGTAAAGCCACCTTGTCCTGGGGCACTGGGGACTGGAAACATTGGATCAGGGAAGGGACATGGTCAGTCAAGCTGAGTTTTGAGAACAGCTCTTTGCTTCCTGTGTGGACAGGAGGGGACTTGCTGAAGCTATGGGGATTCTAGAGACAGGGTGACGGTGGGCAGTGGATAAGCTGTGCTCCAGGAGCCACAGGCAGCCCCAAACCCAGTCCCCACCCACAGGCTGAAGTGGCAGATCCAACTGCTGCCCCCGCGGCAGAGACAGAGTCGGAGGTGACCCTGCGGGAGCTCCAGGAAGCCCTGGAGGAGGAGGTGCTCAGCCGGCAGAACCTGAGCCTCGAGCTGGAGGCCATCCGCACGGCCAACCAGAACTTCGCCAGGTCGGGGTCGGGGCACAGGGTCCCCGACACCCTTGGCACTCTGCAGCCCAGACCCCAGTGGGTCACGTTTCTTTCCTCATCTCAGTCAGCTACAGGAGGCCGAAGCCCGGAACCGAGACCTGGAGGTGCACATCCAGCAGCTGCAGGAGCGGCTGGAGTTGCTGCAGACAGAGGGAGCCGCAGGCGAGTCCCTCATCTGCCCCCTTCTGGGAGGGCACCGGGAGGAGGTGGGCCAGCGAGGGGGACAAGTTGGGGGAGGAAAGGGGCCCAGGCTGGGGCACGCCGCGCCACCTCCCTTCTCTGCCCCTTCACGCGCCATACGCCTCTCTCTTCTCCTTCCAGCTGTCACGGGGGTCCCCAGTCCCCGGGCCACGGATCCACCTTCCCATGTAAGACCCCTCTCTTTCCCCTGCCTCAGGCCTGCTAACCCCCCTCCCGTACAGATTTAGGGCTCACCCTATCTCTTTGGGGCTCCGTCAGTCCCAGATCTCCCTCAGTTCGGGCCTCTCATCAAATCCCTCCGGGGATCTCCCTAGATTCCTCCCCCGACCTCGACTTTCCTCACTCTCACCCGCCCCCACCCCCTGCTGAAGGAGGCAGGGCTAGGCTGGGCTCCGATCGGGTCACCTGTCCCTTCTCTCTCCAGCTAGATGGCCCCCCGGCCGTGGCTCTGGGCCAGTCCCCGCTGGTGGGGCCAGGCCCCATGCACCGCCGCCACCTGCTGCTCCCTGCCAGGGTACGTCCCACGCTCTCTCGCCGCCGCTGCCGTGCCCCGGCCTCACTCCACCCACCCCATGCCACCACCGCTTAGCTGCACCCCTTCGGGGCTTGGCCTCCACGGGAAGGGAGGATGCACAGGCAGCCAATCAATACAGGCCGCCAGGAAGCGGCCAATGATGAGCTGCGGATTTCAGACAGGATTTCTGGCTGGCGAGCCGAGAAGCCCCTGCTGCCAGCTGTAGGGGGTGTGGGGCGGGATTGGAGAATTGAGGACCCTTATAGGCATAGGCGGGTCGGCTCTCAGGAACCAATCAGGCCGTCCCGAAGTGCTGATCCCGCCCTCTCGCCCGTAGGTCCCTAGGCCTGGCCTATCGGAGGCGTGTTCCTTGCTCGTGTTCGCCGCTGCTCTGGCTCGTGCCGCCTCCTTGGGCTGCATTGGGTTGGTGGCCAGCGCAGGCCATCTCGTCCCAATCTGTCATCGCCCGGGAGCCACCTTCGTCCCCTGAACCCTAGACCTCAGGCTCGGTTAAAGGGTTGGGTGACCCGGGCTCGGCCTAGAAGCTGCTCCCACCGCCTCCCAGTTCATACCGCTCCGAGCGCGGGTCTTCGCCCAGCTCCAATCCTGTGATCCGGGCCCGCCCCCTGGCGGCCGGGAAGGGGGGAGCCGGATCCTTGGCCGGCGAATGGGGTTAGCGGGGGACTTGCAGCCAGGAATGTTGTTGCTGCTGAGGCTGCTGCGGCTGCTGCTGGGGGGAGTTGCCGATCACTGCTTTCTTCTGGGAGGGTTGAGGCCCCGACGTGGATGGGCAGATCGCGGTCCAGAGAAGGCAGCCGACCGGAGCTCAGCCATCCTCGACCTGGATGAGCATGTCACGGTCCGAAAAGGCAGCCGACCGGAGCTCAGCCATCCGATTTTCACCCTCCACGCACCTGCCATCTGTTCGCAAACCACAAATCCTCCCTGTGCATGAACTCCTATTCTCTCCGGAACGTTCTACCGCAGCGAACGTTCGGCGTCACCTCTGCCTGCTCCCTCGGGAACTTTTTGCTTTTGCCAGCCCCCCTCCCCCCTTACGTGCGCTGCTCTAGGAGCCACAGCTGGCTCCGCCCGTCTCGGTGGTTTGGATATTTATTGCCTTTATCCTCCGACTTGCTGACAGCCTCCAGGACCCCATCACCCTAATCCACGTTTTGGATGCACTGAGACTCGACATTCCTCGGTATTTATTGTCTGGCCCCACCTAGGACCCCCACCCCCGACCCTCGCAAATAAAAGACCCTTTCGTCTGCCTGAAGCTCTGGACTCCGCGGTGTAGCTGTGTACGCGTTATGGGGAGGAGGTTGCCCGGTGGGCCAATCAGGAGGCCAGTAGGGCTGGCCAATAGCTTGGCGGGGAGCTAGCGGGACGCAAAGAGGACGAATCGAGGAGGGGGAAGGGAAAACATGAGGGGCGGGACCTCGGCATCCAGCCAATAGGACATGGCGAGCGGGCCACAATGAGGCACCGCCCCCCCAGCTGTGGCTCAGCTGTGCCACCCCAAGGGTTGAGAAGAAGGGGGCTGGGCAGGCTACCGCGCCGCCGTCCTTCTTCCACTGCGTCTGCGCAGGCCACGCGCATCCGCTCCTGGGACCTACGCTTAAGAAAAGTTGCTGCAAACTTTCTCCCTGTTTCGCCCGCCCCTCCTCCCTGCCAGACCCGCCCCCCTGCGGAGCCGGGAATTCCGAGGGGCGGAGCGCGCGCCGAGATGGGAATGGGGGGGCCTTCAGAGGACCCTGGAGACGGAGGCGTGCAGAAGCTCAGTCTCCGGACGGAGGTGGCTTCGCGCCCTTAGCTCTCCTGGACGGACCGTTACCTTCTCTGTTGTCCCGATGGGGAAATTGAGGCCCTGAGCCAGAGGCACACGCTGGGGGCGGGGGGGGGGGACAAAAAGCGCGGCCAGAGGCGGAGGGAAAACAAAGGGAGAATCACGGACAGGCGGAGACCGGGACGGACACACAGAGACAGAGACCCAAGTGTAGATCTGGGGTCTGGCATTCGGGGGGCAGGGGGGGTGTGGCGAGAAGATGGGGAAGCGCGAGGCGGGGGCAGAAAGGGGGGGGGGGGGGGGGGGGGGGCTGGTGGAAACCCGAGGGAGGAGAAGGAGGGAGGAACTTCCCAAAGTTGCAAAACATGGCTACCTTGCCTGCCGAGCCGAGCGCGGGGCCGGCGGCCGGTGGGGAGGCTGTGGCGGCGGCAACCGAAGAGGAGGAGGAAGAAGCGCGCCAGCTCCTGCAGACTTTGCAGGCAGCCGAGGGTGAGGCGGCGGCGGCGGCCGGGGCCGGGGCGGGCGAAGCGGCTGCGGGAGCGGAGGACTCGGGGTCCCCGGGAGTCCCTGGGTCACCCCCGGAGGCCGCTGCCGAACCGTCCACGGGCCTCCGCTTCTCGCCGGAGCAGGTGGCGTGCGTTTGTGAGGCGCTGCTACAGGCGGGCCACGCTGGTCGCTTGAGCCGCTTCCTAGGCGCACTGCCCCCGGCTGAGCGCCTACGTGGCAGCGACCCGGTGTTGCGCGCACGGGCCTTGGTGGCCTTCCAGCGGGGCGAGTACGCCGAACTCTACCGGTTACTGGAGAGCCGCCCCTTCCCCGCCGCCCACCACGCCTTCCTGCAGGACCTTTACCTGCGCGCGCGCTACCAGGAGGCCGAGCGAGCCCGCGGCCGCGCGCTGGGCGCAGTGGACAAATACCGGCTGCGCAAGAAGTTCCCGCTGCCGAAGACCATCTGGGACGGCGAGGAGACCGTCTACTGCTTCAAGGAGCGCTCCCGCGCCGCGCTCAAGGCCTGCTACCGCGGCAACCGCTACCCAACGCCGGACGAGAAGCGCCGCCTGGCCACGCTCACCGGTCTCTCGCTCACGCAGGTCAGCAACTGGTTCAAAAACCGGCGACAGCGCGACCGGACCGGGACCGGCGGCGGCGCGCCCTGCAAGAGGTGAGGGGATCCGGGAGACGCAAGTCCCCCTTTCCCGAGAACACCAGCCTCCAACTCCCCGTGCCCACTGCTGGAGCCTCGGCGCCGGGCTTCTTGGAACTTCCCGCTCACATACTTAGGCCTCCGAGATGCGTAGGGACTAAGCGTGGATGGATCAGGCCCACGTCCTCGTTCCTCTCCTCCGGGGACCTCGAGCGGAGGCCCGGAGACCTCTTCTTCCCGCTGCTGCACTCAAAGTTCCAAATCAAACCCCCCTGTGTTCGGGATCTCTGTGGGGCAAACAGTGCCAAAATAGGGGCCTCTAAAGGGGGTGGGGGAGGGGCCCTTGCCCACCCTACCCCGGGTAGGGGTGGCTTTCTGGGCGCTTTCGCAGCCCGGCCCTTCCCTGACCGTTACTCTTACCCACCCCCACGCCCCCTCCAGCCTGAACAGCATGGTCCGGCCCCTGCCTTTGTTGTGAAACGTGAACCTTCCCCGGCTCCGGTTTCCCTGTAACCCAAGCCCTTCCCCTCCCACCCCGCGCGCACCCGGCCTCGCTCTCCTCTGACGCCTCTTGGGAGGGACGCTGGGAACTGAGCAGGCAACTGCCTCCTCACTGTCCAGGCCACGCGTCTGCCTACCCAGGGGACTTGGGGGAAGCCCTGGTGCACAGCCCTGCCCAGAGGCAAACGCCCGGAAAGCAGGCTGTTCTTCAGGTTGCTCCAGAGTTAGCTTTCCCGCGGTGGTGGCTACCAACGCAGGGTCCTTGGGTGTCCTTGGGATGATCTATGACCCCTGAAATAGTCCACAAAAGCTGGGGCTGGGGCAGGTCGGGAAGCAGGGGTCAGCCCCTGCTCCTGAGAGAATCCCGCCCTCAGGGATCACAGCTAACCACCCTTTCTCCCTCCAGCGAGTCTGATGGGAACCCCACTACTGAGGATGAGTCCAGCCGAAGTCCTGAGGACCTGGAGAGAGGGATGGCCCCAGTGGCTGCCGAGGCTCCCACCCAGAGCTCCATCTTCCTGGCAGGGGCCACCCCTCCCACTCCGTGTCCCGCCTCCCCCTCCATCCTGGTAAATGGGAGCTTCCTGGCTGCCAGCAGCTCCCCAGCAGTTCTCCTCAATGGCAGTCCTGTCATCATCAACAGCCTGGCTCTGGGAGAGGCCTCCAGCCTGGGGCCCCTACTGCTCACAGGAGGAGGGGGTGCCCCTCTACCACAGCCCAGTCCCCAGGGGACCAGTGAGGCCAAGACCTCCCTTGTCATGGACCCTCAGACTGGGGAGATTCGCCTGGAGGAGGCTCAGTCTGAGGCCCTTGAGACCAAAGGAGCCCAGGTGGCTGCTTCGGGGTCAGCTGGAGAGGACATGGCAGGGCCCCTGCCCCAAGTGGTACCTGGCCCCCCACCAGCTGCATCCTTCCCTCTGCCTCCAGGACCGGTGCCCACTGTGGCTGCCCCCCAGGTGGTGCCACTCTCCCCACCCCCTGGGTACCCCTCGGGCCTGGGGCCCAACTCCCCACTATTGAACTTGCCCCAGGTGGTGCCTACCTCCCAGGTGGTGACCCTGCCCCAGGCTGTGGGGCCATTGCAGCTGTTGGCAGCTGGACCGGGCAGCCCTGTGAAGGTGGCAGCTGCAGCAGGACCTGCCAATGTACACCTGATCAACTCCGGGGTGGGCGTGACTGCCTTGCAGCTGCCTTCAGCCACCGCCCCAGGTACTCCCTCCTGCCTCCCTACGGCCTGGATGCAGCTTGGGGTAGGGATGTCACTGGGTTCTGGGAGGAGGAAGCATCTCATCCCTGGTGTTTCCCTGTGCCCTCTGCCAGTGTGCCCCAAAGTTTTTGCCACACATCCTGAGGGAGCCATTTGCCTGCCCTCCAGCAGCTTCATCTCTACATTCTCTTGGTCAGCTGCTTCCAACTCTTACCTATTTCCTCTCCCCACAGGAAACTTCCTCCTGGCCAACCCTGTGTCTGGCAGCCCCATTGTCACAGGTGTGGCCGTGCAGCAGGGCAAGATCATCCTCACAGCCACCTTCCCCACCAGCATGCTGGTCTCCCAGGTCTTGCCACCGGCCCCCGGCCTGGCCCTGCCGGTGAAGTCAGAGGCAGCCATCTCAGTGCCTGAAGGAGCCCTCCCAGTGGCCCCCAGTCCCGCCCTCCCAGAGGCCCACAGCCTGAGCACACTTTCTGCACAGCAGCCAACACCACCCACTGTGGCCACCTCTGCAGCCAGTCTGCCCTTCTCCCCGGACTCTGGCCTCCTGCCCAGCTTCCCAGCACCCCCGCCAGAGGGTCTGATGCTGTCACCTGCAGCTGTGCCAGTTTGGCCGGCAGGGCTAGAGCTGAACACAGGAACAGAGGGGCTGCTAGATGCAGAAAAAGGGCTGGGAACACAGGTTCCTCACACCGTGCTGAGGCTGCCAGATCCTGACCCTGAGGGGCTGCTACTGGGGACCACGACAGGGGCTGAAGTTGATGAAGGGCTGGAAGCTGAGGCCAAGGTCCTGACCCAGCTACAGTCGGTGCCTGTGGAAGAGCCCTTGGAACTGTAACCCGCTCAGCTTCATCACTTCTTCTGACAATGGTGCTCAAGATGCAGGGACAGTGCCTGGGTTGGCAGTCTGGGGATCCTACACACACTACATCCCTCCAGCCTGGGTGGCCTCTCCAAGTCCTAGAGGTGCCAGGGAACACGCTATCCACTCCCTGTCTAGGATTCTGTCCCTCTCTGCACGGGAGGCCTCTGTTACAGCCCTCTCCTTGCTGTCCTGCCGTATGTATGGGGAATTTGGGGGCCTGATGCAGGCTCTGCTCTCCTCCACCTGGTACTAGCTGTGAGCTGAAGACCCTGCGGAATGGCCAGATCTCCTGCTCCCTCTTCTCCCTAACACACTATTAATAGCTCCACTGATACCCCGTGTTCTCAGAATGCTTGGAATCCGAGGGTGGAGGACAAAGTTTTGGGCCCAGAGACTGATGGACCCTTCCCCATGCTTCTCCCTTCTTGCTAAGAAGGGGTGCAGGTGTAGGCAGAGTGGGGTCTCCCCTTCACTCCTCTGGACTAAAGCCACATCACCTCTAGCCCCAGACCAAAGATTCCCTTGTCCCCGGGGCAACCCTGACCCTTGTGTCTAGTTTGTATCCTAAATCTTTATTTTTCTAGGATATGTTATGCCTCCATTTCAATTAAAATAAAGTTAACAGAACCACCAGGGCTGTGGGTCACCTTCCAAACAACTTGCCCAAAGGACAACTGAACAGCAGCAGCCCTGCCTGAGAACCTGGCTCTCTGACCATGCTTCCTAAGAAGGGGGCTTGAGTCCAGGCTCATGGGCTGAGGAAGGTGTGGGCAGCGAGGTGACTTTCAAACTGTAGGCCCTGACATGGCAGGCCTCCAGAGCTGGGTGGGAGGACCACCCAGGGCCAAAGAAGCAGGGAGACACCAGAAGGCCTACCCTGTTTCCTTTGCTGGCAACAAGGATTCCACTTGCTTTTATTTGGTTTAAAACAATAAATAGTCTATAAATAGAACGGGGCAGGGAGGGGCGAATTGAGCATGAACAGGTTGAAACCATTTGATTCTGGGGACAGGATGGGCAGAGTGGAGTCCCTGTTCTCCAGCATCACCTGCCTGCATTTCATCTAGGGTTTCTTTCCACCCTAAGGCTCCTCTAATAACCATGGGGTGGAAAGGGGGCTCAGTGTCTCAGGAGTCAATAAATACACCTCTTCCCCAGTCCCACGGGAGCTGGCCCAGGGACCCACAGTGGCAGGGGCTGAAGCTCAGAAGGGAACAGACGCCTCTTCACCACCGGCTCCTGGTTTCCGAGGAGTGCTGCAGAAGCTGGGGTGAGGGAGCTCGCCTAGGTGGACAGCCCTCTCACTGGGGGTGAAGAGGCGGCAGGGGGGGCAGGTCTGGGTTGCTGTGTGCCTTCTCCGCCAGCAGCTGGTAGAAAGGCTTGGGGGTCTCCCAGTCCTCGTCCTCACTGCTGGAGTTCTCCTGCTTCACAATGCGGTTATGCTGGCGGCTGAACCTGCGGGCCTTGATGCTGGGGGGAGAGGTGGCAGCGGGGCAGGTTCCTCTCTCACCTCCCACCATCGCTGTCCCACCCCTGGTCCTCCAGCCCCAGCAGGGACCAAGGCCAAGGACAAGTGGGAGGCCAAGCCCTGGGTTCCAAGTCCCAGGCTAAGACGGGACGTGGCCAAGGGTCCCTTGCTGGAACCCCACACTCCAAGGGGCTTTGGGGTGTGAGAAACTTCGTGTTGAGGAGTGTTCCAGGGACCACTTCAGAGGTGGCCAGTGACAGCTATCCGGAGTTGGTGGAGAAGACAGGTTTCGGGGAGGCGGGGATCAGAGGCAGGAGGGAGGAGGCCAAGCAGCAGGAATTGAAAGCCAGGTTCTGAGAGCTCCGGGTGGCAGAGCTGGGGAGAACCTCTAGCAGCAAGGTCCAAAACCCAGTGAAATCATCTGCCTTTCTGAGCTACTAGGTGACACCTCTCTCTGTCACCTCCAAGTCTTTCAGGAAAGACTCAGCTCAGTGAGCTCCCACCCTGTTCCAGCACCACAGGCTCCAGGCTCTGAACCCTAGAGGAAGGCTGGGACCTGCTGCTGGCTCCTCACAGGGTCTCTGGCAGGGCTTCTTACCAGTATGGTCTCCGCTCCTGCGGGGTCATCACCCGCCACAGCTGGGCCAGTTCCTTGGTGGCCGCTGTGGATGCAGTCCCAGGGCAGGCTCTGGAACAAGAGGGGCGGGAGGGGTGGTCAGGAGAGGCCTGTGGAGACCAGCAGTGCGGCCACACAGGGTCTCTGGCCCTCTCCCAGCCTCAGCTTTCCCATCAGTGCCCTCTCCCATCCCTGCAGCCCGCGGCCACCATCATACACCCTCCGGAACTGAGGTCAAAGAAGGGAAAGGCATTAAATAGCTGCTCCCAACTAAGAACCCAGTGTCCAGGAGAGTGAGGTGGTGACTACAGGCCAGCACCTAGACCTCCCTGTACAGGAACCCACTGTCCACTGTGGCTCAGGACACTCCCAGGCCCCGGCTTCACTCTGGCAAGCGGCCGGCTCAGCCTCCTCCCCACAGGGACTGCTGGGGGCAGACTGGACTTGAGCCAGAGCTCCCAGGTGTCCCTGTTCCCAGTATTCTGGAGAATGAAGCCAGCTCAGGAGAGCGGAGTTGGACAGCATCGTTCAGCCCTGGAACCAACCACATCTTAGGGCAGGCAACACTGGCCGCTTTTTGTTAAAGTTATATAAGCAAATTAATTTCTTTTTCTCCCCTCAAATTTGAGCTGGTTTCACTGCACACAGTTGAAAGGACCAGATCAGTGCGACAGGGTGGGGAAGAACTGTGGCCGTGGAGGGGCTGGTGGGTCCTAGGAAAGGGCAAGTAACTCTCACAAGTGGGAGCCACACAACCTACAGGCAGAGTGAAATCAGGGACCTACCAGGGGCTGCCGGGGACCCTCACCCACCTAATGTACTGCTTCCGGTTCATCCTGCAGAACATGATGAAGCCATTCACACACTTTTTCTTCATCTGGGTAGGACATGGGGCTTTCTTGCTCTCCTTGGGCTTCGAAGGGCCCTTGCTGGTCCGGCCCTTCCTGCTCTTTCTCCCACCTATGGGCAGGGTTGAGGCCCTCCGGGTGGGGGTCCATGTATAGTCGTCATCCTCGTCACTAGAGGACTGCAAGCCCTCAGGGTCGACCTGCATGTCCTGGACAGAGAAGAGTGGTAAGTGCCAGGGCAAGAGAAACCCACCCGCCTTCCGCAGATGCCAGCCCTCACCTCTTCCTGCCCCCACAGGGACTCCAAGTCGCTCTCCTCAGTGCTGGGGCTGGACTGCACCTTGCTGGCCTCACTCAAAGAGAGGTAGCAGTGGTCCAGTGAGACCGAGGACTGGCACAGGCTGTGGGAGTCAGAGGGCGCTTCAGGTGCCTCTAGAGGTACGCTCTGGGCCATGATGAGGGAGAAAGATGGTTGGGGTGGGGGCTGGGATCACCCTCCACTCACTGATTTCCCAGGACAGAATGCAAGCAGCCTCACAGTCTCCACAGCCTCGGGACACTCAGGCACACACTCCCAAGTTCCCATAGCAGGCTAAGTGGGGCAGGAATGGCTGGGGCGACTTGTTTCCTCCTATCCTGGGGCAGTGTCGCCTCCACCCCATCAGCGTACTAGTGGCCTAGAGGCTGTGGTGCTCTGGGAAGTCTGAACTTCTTTGAGCCTGGATCTCATCTACACGACAGGGGTAGCAATACAGGCCTTGCAGGGCTGGGAAGAACCTCCCACAGCGCCCGGCACTAGCTAGGAGCTAACGGCATGTTTCTGCCACCAACTCAGGTACTCATTGAGGCAACACTGGAGGAATCATCTGTGGAGGACTAGAGCTGCCTCTCCATTAGCACTGACCTTCTGTAGCAGAGGTGCTGCCCTGGTTGGCCCAGGGCCCAGGAGGGCTGCAGTCCTGGGATTGGTCTCTACTCAAACTGAGAATTCCTGGGCCACTCTCTGGGTTCAGGTTTTTTCTCACCCATCAAACAAAGTCAGGAGCCCCCTACTTGGTAGATGGATGGGGGCAGGTGGCTGGGTGGCTAGAGGGCTGAGTCTGGGAATGGGTCGAGCAGGGAGGTGGGGTGACATATGGTGGGTGTCGCCTACCTTCTTTTGGGGTGCCTCAAGGGTACAGGCAGAAGGTCGAGACTCAGGCTCTAAGAGCACTTCTTCAAAGAGGCCTGTTGGTGGGGACACCACAGTGCTGGCTAGAACGGAAGTGCTTCTCCCACTGCACTGAGCCTCTTCCCTGCTGTCCCCACCAGCTGGAACCCCCTTGTCTGGCCTTCTCCTACCCCACGTCCAATTCCCCTCACAGGTCAGCTGCCGTGGGACCCCTCCAGCCCCAGGGCGGAGCATGTGGCTCCCTGATCAGGCTCCTGAGCCTTTCCCTCTCTTGTGCTGGGCTGTGGGTGCCTTGAGACAGGGCCTGGATGAGATAGGGCTCTGGGCGGCCAGAGTACGGCATAGGCCTGAGCACCTGGTGGGTGCCCCATGTTCTGAGTGACTGGAGCCTCAGTCTTGCCTTGGAGGCTCACCTTGGGTCAGGTACTCATTGCCATCCTCCAAGATCTGTTCTGGCAGCAATTTTCCCGGGGAGCTGAAGAGGGAAGGACTTAGTCCTAGGATCTCACTCGGGTGTCCTGTCACACTCCAATTATTGATTTGGGGAGGCCCCAAGGCCACTGGGCTCCCTAAAGAGGAAACACGGGGCTCAGTAATATGGTTGGAAATTGCCCTCCCCTCAACAGTAGAAGGCTTTGAGGAGATGGTGCCAGACACTGGGGCCAGGGGACTCGTTCCTGACTGGGCGTTCCTATAGAGGGGATTAAGAGACACAGTGCCTGGCATTATTTCAGGGATAGCAAAGGGAAAAAATCATCATAATGGGTCAGATTCAATAGACTGATATATCTACCTGCAGCTCTGTTAAGAAAGATTCTGAGGTAGTATCTGGACTCAAGGGAAAGAATGATAATTGATTAGCAATGTCTGTCCTAGCAACTAGCATCAGAGTGACAGCAGGAACAGTGCAGTCACCATCCCTGTTCTTAGCAGATCCCCATTCTCCTTCCCACTTTCCCCTGCCATAGAAATCATCAGAAGGAAGAGAGACAGTTTCAGTCACCATGAGGGCTGCCCTCTGGGGTCCAGGCAGGAAGCCACGGGTCAGCATCTGGGACTTCCTTGTCCACCTCCTCACTGGAATCACAGAAGACCAGCTTCTGCCTGTGACAGGTGGAATTAAGAGGCAAACACAGAGCCCTGAGCTGGGAACTGCTGTGTGACCCCTCCAGTGTCTCCTGTGGCTGGCTGTGTGCAGGTCCCAGGGAGCTCGGTCAGCTGAGCGCCCAGCCTCCAGGGGCTTCTAGGCCTATGAGGTGAGCTGGCGCCAGAGGAGCAACGCTGAGGGCAGTGGGAGGAGGACCTCAGTGAGAACTGAAGGACAGGCAGTGTCACAGGTGGGCCTGGGGAGTGGGCTGTCCATGAAGGGGGACCAGAATGAATGTAAAGCTCAGAGGCCGGGGCGTGGCGAGCATCCTCTTAGGTGTAAGAGTCAGGGTGAGGGCAGGAGATAAGGTCACAGAATGTCTCCAATGCCAGTTAAGATAACTGGGCTCTACCTGCTAGGCACCAAGGAAGGGTCAAGGCCAAGTTCTCTGTGTTAGAAAAGCTACTCAAGTGAAGATGGGCTGCAGGGGGAGACTGGAGGCAGAGAGGCCAGTGGGGAGGCTGTGGCCAGGTTCTGAGAGATGGAAGCCAGGCTCCAGAGAGCTCAGTGCAGTCAGCATAAAGCAGGCCCAGGGCAGTGCTCAGGAGAACTGGCAAAGGATGAACCCCGGCCTCGTTTCTTAGGACCCGTCACCATGCCAGCCCAAACTCCTCTGCCTCGCCCACCAGTGCCCTCAGAGTGCCCTCACCTGGAATAGGGGTGTATCCTGCTTAGGAAATGGATCCCTTCAGCCCCTCTCTGGGCCTCCAAAGCAGGGTCAGGCTCTCCATCCTGGGCACTGTTTGCACAACAGCAGCCTGGGGGGCAAATTAGGATGACTGCTTCTGTGGGTCGACATAGAGGATGGGGAGGAGCCAGGTTCTGCCACCCAACTTTCTGCTCCACCATCCTGACCAAAACCTTAGTCTATAGGACCTCTGTGTGAGGCTGGGGGTGCCCATGTCACCCTGAAGTTTCTTGAATCTCATATCCCTATCAGAAGCTGTAATGAGGATAAAATCCTTAAGTGGAACGACAATAATAACAAGCAAGGATGCAGTGCTTACTGTGGCCAGCCCTGTTTGAAGCACTTAAAATCCTTTTCAGTGATCCTTTGCTAGAGGACACCATTATTATACTATAGGTAAACTGAGGCACTGAGATATCGGGTAGCTTGCCAACATTGTAGTTAGCAAGAAGATCTGTGAAGCACTCCCTCAGCCCCGGGCTGGGTCAGATGCCTGCTCTGGGGCCAACAGCCTCCTGGGAAACCCAGGAAGTCTGGTCACTGTGGACCATCAGCATCTGGTGATGTGGGTGATTCCTTCAGTGGACTGTGACCTTAGTCCCTGATATGTCAGGAGCACTCTGCACATGTCCTGGCCCGGAGCAGGCACTCAGAATGGGGGCTACATGAATGAACAGAGGAACCAACTGCCCAAGGCCTTGCAGCCAGTATGAGGCTAGGCCTTGAGTTCAAATCCCCTCTCTCCACCCAGCTCTTTGCTAGATGCATCAGCAAGCCTATTTCAGTTGGTGGAGTGACAGGGCAATCACAAGAGACATTGTGGCTGCTTCAGGTGAGGTCTTCTCAGGATACCCTACCCTATCCCACTTCTGTGACCTGAAGCCTAACAGGAGGGTAGCCCTGATCTTCTCCCTCCCTTACCCACAATAGAGCCTGAAATGAGAAAGAAAACTGGGAACAAAACCATAAGCTCCGTGAGATGAGGGGCAGGGTCTACTCTGATCACCACTGTATCCCCAGCTACTCAGCAAGTCCCCAGCAAAGAGCCTATAAAGATGAAACTCATGGTGAGGAAAGAGACCAACTTGCGATGTCACCAAGGACGATGTTTTCAGCTATATCCAGCAACGTCAGCTGGGATCTTCCTCCTTCTCCATCGCCTTGAAATGAGGCAAATGCAGCTTTGAGGTCACACCAGGGGTCTGGGCATCTTGGAGGGGTGGTGATCCCCCCCACGTTTCCTTCTTTCTGGTCTGGGGACGTGGTCACCGTCTTCTCAGGTTTGTCTAGGGCCAGGGAACGGCGAGGTTTCTGGTCCCGGGTCTGACGTTCTGAGAATGCAGAGAGATGGGTGTCAGAGGACCCTGTGTGTGGGGAGTGTTCCCTGACTACCCCAGAATATGGCTCAGTTGGGGACCTCCTTTGCTCTGGGTTGACACCCTGTTTTAAAGCTGTGTATGGCTTGGTCACTCACCAGCCCTTCCAGGCATGCTCAGATACTCAAGCAGAGGTCACTTAGCCCAACCCCTACCTATATACCTTGCAAGCTCTTAAAAAACAAAAAGACACAGCTGCTCTGATGTTCCACCACAGACAGAGGGCACCCGATTCTCTAGGTAAAAAGCACAAGAATAGGATTTCTTTTTCTTTTCTTTTCTTTTTTTTTTTTTTTTGAAGCACCCCAGGTGATTTAGATGTATAGCCAGGGAGTCACCGATGAGATCCAACTTTTTTTTTTTTGGCTCTACTAGGAATCCAACCCAAGGCCGTGGGTATGCCAGGCAAATACTGCACTATACCCCTGCCTCTCCGGCTCCCATTTTATAGTCATGGAAACTGAGTCCCACAAATGAGAAGGGGAGCAAGTGAGTAGCATGGCTGGGGCTGGCCCCAGGACACTGCCTCCCACATGTGGATCTTCCTGTCACTGCACACTCCCAAATTCTCTGGTCCAGAATGATTACCGAGTACAGGGCAATAAATAAAAACAGCAGCTGCGCTCCTTGGACCTGACCAGTGTCTCTCACATGAGCTCTGCTTGGGCAGAGTGCGTGCTTGTTCTCCTGTGGCAGGTGCTGTGTTTTTCAGTGAGGAAGCAGAGGTTTAGAGGAGAGTGGCCCACTCCAGGTCACTGAGCTTCTACTAGGAGGAGTGGGATCTGACCCTGGCATAGTTTGCTGAGCAGACCCCTGAGCAGGGCCATGGCAACCCTGGAGAGGGAGTCCTGTTCCATTGACCCCTGCCTTCTTGTTCTGCTCTGCTGACAGCTCATACCTGGTGCTCGAGTCAGCTTCTTCCGAGGTTTCCGGCAGGCCCCCCAAAGACGAGACTTCCGAGAGCACGGGGAGCTGGAGGGGGTTGAGTGTTTCCGCCTGGTTGGGCCCACAGCTGGGTTCCGACCCAGCCCTGCTGAGACAGAGAAGTGGACAGGTCAGATCCTAGTCCTCACTCTAGCATGTTTCCTGCTCTCTAGATGATGCTTCCTAACCCTGGGATAAGGCGGGCCCCCAGGCAGAACTCACATATGGAATTGTGATTTGCGCAGGCCCCAAGGCCACTGGGCTCCCTAAAGAGGAAACATGGGGCTCAGGGATGTGGTCAGAAATTGCCCTCCCCCCAACAGTAGAAGGCTTTGAGGAGATGGTGCCAGACACTGGAGCAAGGGGACTCGTCTGACTGAGTGTTCCTGTAGAGGGGATTAAGAGGCACAGTGCCTGGAAACCCAGATGTGGGAGGAAGCAGACCTGTCCTTAGTTGCACAGCCAGGAGGCAGAAGCACAGGGGCAAAGTCAGGTTCCCCAGGGCTGGCCAAGAGGATGAACAGACTCACCCCTTCCCAAATGCCTCTTCCCCACCCCAAACCTGTTCCTTCTCATCTTTCTCAATACAGTGAAGGTGCTACCACCCACCTGGGGTCGCCCTGGGCCTCTGCCTCTGGCCTCTCAAGTCTTCCTTATTATTAACATCTCCCAAGTTCACCCACTTCTGTCCACATTCCCAGCTACAGTGCTAGATTGGGCTTCATTGTCTTTTGTCCAGAGATATTCCTAAAACCATTTTCTCTGATATCCCTGATTCCAGTTTCTTCCTTCACAATCAGTCCTCTAGATGTCATGGACCCTGTTCTAGGACAAAACAAAACAAAAAATCTGCCAGGTGTGGCATTGTGTGTTTAGAATCCCAGCGACTTGGGAAGCTTAGGTAAAAGGATAGAGTGCCTGGGTAACAGACAGAGACTCCGTCTCTAAACCAAACCCCAAACCAAATCTGATCATGACTCCCTTGCCCAAAATCCTTCAGTAACTCTCATCGTCTTCATCTCTCTCTGTAGCTGTGTACCAGAAGCCCTTCAGGACCTCACCCCTGCTCCCCCAGCCCCTGGTGAGCCCCTCCAGCCTCATCTCCTGCCACCCTGCCTGAGTATCTCGCACTCCAGCAACACCAACAGCACTGGGCACCCTGCGCAACACTGGGTGGCCGCTGCTCCAGGTGCTATTTTTCTTTAAAGAAAATATATATATGTATATATGTATGTACACACACACACACACACATATATATTTTAAGTATTTCTTTTTAGTTATAAGTGGACACAATACCTCTATGTTATTTATTTATCTTACATGGTGCTGAGGATCCAACCCAGTGCCTCCCGCATGCTGGGCAGTGCTCTGAGTGCTCTATGCTGAGCCCTAACCCCAGTCACCTGTTGTTTCTTCATATGTATTTAATCCCTATGACAAGCCAAGTGCTGGTGTGTCCTGTTCTGCAGAGGACGGGAACTGAAACACAGCAGGCTGAGGTCATGGAGACACACTTCAGTCCTGATCTAGCTCAGGATGCTACATGGTCCCTCCAATCACACTCACCACTTGCCTGTCCCCAAATGTCCCACATGGGCCTCCTCATGCCTTCACACTCTCACCCACATGGTTCCTTCTGTCTGGCAGGGCCCCCTTCTCCTGCTGTCCTTGGAAGCCCCTCCTCTAAGCCCCCACAGCATCTTGAACAACTTTCTGATGGCTTCCCCTCCATAAAGATGTGAGAGTCCAGGGTAGGGAGGGAGACTGGACTCATCTAAGTCACTCAATGTCCACAATGGCCAGGACAACATTTGGCCTGTAGCAAACACTAGGAAACATTGTCTGAACTGCTTACCCACAAGTCCACCTTCCCCATCGCTGGTGTGGAATTTGAGCAAGGCCTTGGCCTCATCGATGCTTCTTTGGAGGTACTGAATGTAGTGCAGGACGTGAAGCAGAATCTCCTTCTGCCCCCAAAAGAAAGACAGGGTTGAGCACAAGAGCCAGGACTCAGGAAAACGTGAGGCTGCTGGGAACCAGAGACAGGCAGGCCTCAGGCCCCTACTTCCCACCTCTCCTAAGCAATGCCTCAGTCCTCCAACTGTTCCTGCTCTACTGTTAAGACCTCATCGAGGCTCAGTGAGGTGGCAGGGGGTGGGGTGGGGTGTCACCTGAGGAAACAGGCTTAGAATGCCAAAGGGATCTGGAGAAACGAGGTAGAAAAGCTAGAATCTGAACTCAGGTCTGCCTGCCTCCTGGTTGTTTTTCAGCACGTACAGCTCAGCTTCTGGCCCCTGGCTCTTTGCTCATGCTGTATTTCCGGTCTGCAAATCCTCCTCTTTTCCCCCATGAACTCCTCACCTCTATCTCCTCTTCTGGTTCTCGGCAGCATGCCCGCCCTCCTGACCCCTCTCACCCAGGCTGGCTCAGCTGCCCTCCTCAGCACTCTTGTAACACCCTGGGCCAATTTCAACCAGGGTACTTGCAACGCTGTTTTATAATTATCTGTTGACATGTCCTTCACTTCCACTGACCTTGAACTACTTGATGGTGAAATTGTGGGCTAATTTATTTCTGTATCCCAAGCATATAGCCAGGGACTATCAGAGGAATGGAACCTCCCGCCAAGAGGATGCCTCCTGCCCAGTGGGTAGGCATCGCCCATCCAGTTACCTACTGCCTCCTGAGTTGATATGGGATACAGAGCTAGAAGAGGTATGTCAGGGTAAGCTAGACATGTTTTGTTTGCCTTCATGGAATTTACAGTCTAGTGAGGGCAACAGACCCTAATCAACTCACAAATCATTCAAAATTACCAACTATATAATAAGCATTATGAATAAAAGACCACAAACAAAGGATCCCAAAATTAGGGTGTCTGGAAAGGCCTCTTTGAGGAGGTAGCATTTAAACAGGCCTAAAGAGTAGAGGGAGGGCTAGGGATATAGCTCAGTTGGTGGTAGAGTGCTTCCCTCGCATGCACAGAGCCCTGGGTTGAATCCCCAGCACTACACACACACACAAAAAAAAAAAAAAAAAAAAGAGTAGAAGGAGTTATTTGGGTGATAAGGTGAGGGAAGTTCACCAGTTTTGAATCAAACTGGATCCACAGAATAATAAAAAATCAGAAATAAACTCTCAAACTACAAATAAGGAAACAGGGTCTCATGAGGGGGTTTACATGAAAGTATTCCATAAAATACAATATAGACAGTCAGTGAAATGATTTAGTAGTATCCAAAGAAGGATGCTATAACAGAACTATATAATCTAAGAAATACGTGTGACATAGCCAAGAGAACATTGGTTTTAAAACCTGGATCCAAACTACCACTTGGTTGTGCATTAAAAACAGGTCATTTTATGTACTTCACCAAGTTTTGATTTTCTCATCTGTGCAATGGAAATGAGGATATTCAGCTGGGCTCTAAGGACTGCCATTAGTCTAAATAATTAGAAAACAGGGTGGTGGTGCCTCCCTGTAATCCCAGTGTCTCAGGAGGCTAAAGCAGGAGCATCACAAGTTCAAGGCCAGCCTCTGTGAGACCCTCCCTCAAAATAAAAAAAAAAACTAAAAGGGCTTGGTATGTAGTTCAGAGGTTTAATCCCCAGTACCAAAAAAAAAAAAAAAGTAAACAATTGGTGAATGTAAAATTGTCCAGCACAGGGTGTGATACATTGATTGCCTAATAAATGCTTGGTTGAAGACTGAATGAGATCACCTTTACCAGGTTTCCTAGGGATTTAAAAATATATATATTGCTAGACAGTGGATTTTTTCCAAGAGCTGATACTGTCTTTTTTAATTTATTCCTTCTAATAACAGGATTGGCACAAAATTAAGTCTTTGTTAACTGTCAAGTAACTTATAAATGTTACTTGTTACAACTAGTCTAAAGGTTGTATGCAGAAAGCAATTGAGAATCACCCAGGATTCAGCAGAAGCTCCTATTTGATAACTGGGGAGGGTGGCCTTGGCTGCTGCCCCTGAGGTTTGAATCCCAGGGACCTTATCACTATCTCAACATATGGCATTGATTCAGCCATTCAATAGACATCCACTGAGCTCTCTGTGACAGCAGGGTTGAAGCACAGGGCTTTGGAATGACATTTCTCTCATTGCCCCGCTGTGTGCCTCTGGGCAGCGTGACCCCTCTGCACGTCAGTTTCCTTAAACCAAAGTGAGCCTAACCATACATCTCTCCCAAGCCTTGTGGGACAATTAAATGAGGATTCGAATCTAAGATGCTTAGCAGTCAAGATCTGGCATCTGGAACTCTCAGTAAGTTGGGAGCAGCTGCTCCTGCTCTCTGCTCTAGGCAAGGCCCTGGGGGTCCTAGAGACCCTGGGGGGTAGAGATTTTTCCCTTATGGGATATGCACTGGCATAACTCTCCATCTAAAGGAGTCAGAAACAAGGAAATGCTCATGGTACTATGCTGAGGACTACATGGGGTAGGGGGCAATTAATCAGCCACAGTGGTGTGGAAGGACACCACAAACCTCCAGTCTCAAACACAGGGAAGCCACACCTAATAGTTCATGAGCAGTCACACAGCCCTGGGACTGGCTATGGTGTCTTCACACAGAGACAAGTTTGACCATGAGATGCTGGGCACTGACTGGGAATTGAATTTGCAATCTGACCCCCAAACCTCCTGTCTTAAATGTTCCCCCTTTCAATGCTGCCCCTGCCCCCACTCTGGGACACCCAAGACAGAGTCCCAGGCATTGTCTGCACTGGGATACAGGTAATACAAGGAGCAAGGGAACCAGGGCTGAACTTCAGGAGGGTGAAGACAGGGAAGAAAGATTCCTGACACAGCAGAGGATAAATGGTGAACAAAGTATTCTGAAACCTTGGAAGAATTCCAAGAGATGTGGTCATCTGGTCAGTTACGAAATGTTGCCCGTCCCCTGACTAGTCTGTCATTCCTCAAGGGAAGTGGACTGTGTCTTTATTGTCTTTAGCTCCCTAAGAGCCTCAAACACACCTCTGCACATCAAATATGCAAATACTCGACAGAGGAAACAATTCCTCAAATAGTTCACATAAGAATTCCAAAGAGGGCTGGGGATGTGGCTGAAGTGGTAGCGCGCTCGCCTGGCATGCGTGCGGCCCGGGTTCGATCCTCAGCACCACATACAAACAAAGATGTTGTGTCCGCCGATAACTAAAAAATAAATATTAAAAAAAAAAAAGAATTCCAAAGATATCCACATTCTAGTCTCCAGCACCTATGGATGTGCTATGTGCTGCCTGATATGGCAAAGGGGACTCCGCCGATGTGAGTTAAAGATCTCAAGATGGAGATTACTCTGGAGCATCCAGGTGTGCCCAATGGAATCACAATGGCTTTATAAGAGGGAAACAGTGGGGGTGGGGGCAGGGAACAAAGGCAGAGAAGGTGATATGGCAACAGAAGCAGTAAGAGAGGGGAGAACTTTGAAGATGCGAAGCTGCTTGCTAGCCTGGGCCCTCATGAGCCAGGGAGCGTAGGTGACCTCTAGAAGCTGGCAAAGGGAAAGGCAGTGGACAGTCCCCTGGAGCCTCTCAGAGGAACCAACCCCACAGACACCTTGACTCTAGACCAGTATGTCTGATTTGGGACATCCTACCTCCAGTCTATAAGAGAATAAGTTTGTGTCTCTTAAGTCACTAATTTTGGGGTGATTTTTTGGTAGCCCTAGGAAACTCATAAAAGCACCTACTGTTGAGAGAGATTTAAGAGGAAGATTCAACATGACCTGTGGTTGATGACATGTGGTGGGCAGGGAAAAGCCCAGGTTTGGGGTCAGGCAAATCTCTCCAAGACACCCACTCCTCTGAACCTCTGCAAAGACAAGTCGCACATTCCAGTTAGGATCAGTTATTCCTGTGTTCAAATCTTCATCTTCCTGACAGACTCTGAGTTCCCAGAGAAGAACTGGGTCTCAAATTTCTTTGCCTCCCTTGTTGTAACCAGAACAGCTTCTGGCACCCAACAATATTTCCAAAAATGGCTGACGAATGAATGAGTACATGAGTGAATGAGAGGAACTAAAGCAAGAAAACGTCATATCAAGCCTTCAAGATCTCTGAGTCTCATATTAGGCTATTCCCCCTGGGAGCAAGGTGTTAGCTTGGCACTATGTACATTTATTGAGGAGCCTATGGGGACATCCTGGGAAACCACACCCAGTCCTACCTCACAGATCCCAAAACAAGAGACTTGAAGAGGGAACTGATATTTATTCAGGGTATGCAACGTGCAGAACCTGTCACAAGTATTATGTCCTTTTGGCCTCATGATATCTCTGGGTAGCGGTAGTTATATTTCCTTGTTTTAAGCCAAGAAACTCAGGAAACTGACCAGAGTTCTGCAGCTGTGAGCTGGGGGGGGGGGGGGGTCTCAAACCTCTGGCTGTTGGACTCCGTATTCTGTTCTTCCCTCCCAATTCCCCTGTCTCTTGCATAAAAGGACTGCCAGGCTTCTAGTCATGGGATCAGGACTCCTAGAAATTCCTTCAGAGAAGGACCATACCCATTCCAAGGCTGACACTGAAAGGGTCTGCTAGGTTTTCCCAGCTTACTGCTATCTGAAGACCTGTGTCCCCAGTCTGCCTCCTTTCCACCAGTCCCGCACCTTAGTGAGCTTCTTGGTGCCAGTCTTCGGGGCCACAGGTAGCAGCAATGCCAGCTCTTGCAGCTTGCTGGAGTGGTTTTTCTTCTGATTCCTGGTTTGGGACGAGAGCTGGATTTGGTTAGGACATCCAAAATTGAATTTGTAATCTGACCCCCAAATCTTCTGTCTTAAATGTTCCCCCTTTCAATGCTGCCCCTGCCCCCACTCTGGGACACCCAAGACAGAGTCCCAGGCATTGTCTGCACTTGTCATTCTCCCTTAACCCCTTGACCAGTTGGCCACCAAATGCTTCCCCTCCCTCCCTCCCTCCCCTTCTCTCCATCTTCATAGCCCCCCCCAAGTCCACCCTGATATCCTCCCGGGTCCCCCAGCCTCCTATCTGGCCTCTTCCATCCTACTCTCCGCTAGGGGCAGGGTGGGCTTTCCTGCTTCAAACTCCTCAATGTCATCCCGTTGTTAAGGATCAAGTTTAAACCCTTAACATGGCTCATAACACTCTTTCCACCCAGCACTGACCACTCTGGTCTCATCCTTCCTTTGACGCTCTCACATGAAATGATCCTGGTCCACAAGATGGGTGACATGCTGCTGCCAAGTTGCCCAGACCCTGTGCTCACCTGTCTCTAACCCCGCACAAGGCTTACAGCTGTGGGGAGCACCACCGTATCCCTAACACTAGACAGAGCCTGGCATATTGTGGGAATTCACTGCATATTGGATAAATGAATAATAAATAATGGCATGAAATAAGTTGACTCCTGGGAACCTGCAGAACTTAATTCCTGAATTCATGATTTACAATATACCCATGAACACAACCCTCCACCCCTCTTTCCTACCACATGAAGATACAGAGATGCTGGAGCCCCTCTCCCAAATTACACCACTGCCACTACCCATGCAACTCCTCTGGGGCTGCCCAAACACCTCAATGCCACCAATCATTGTCCTTCCTTCAGGGCTCACTTTAGTTGCTACCTCCCTTGCTTTCCTCCTCCACTCTAAATGTCCACAACACTTTGTGTCACCTACAGCATGGCCAAGACAAAAACCAACCAACCAAACAAACAAACAAAAACCTCCCTTGATTACTCATGGGGTTAGCTCCAGTTTGCACCGATATAAACTGATACCTCCTGTTGGCCAGGCCCTGTGCAGGATACCGTGGCAACGGGGGTAATGACTCAGGAAGCAGTGTATGATGTGGGAGAGGCACTCATCTTCCTAACCAAACAGCAAATTCCTAAAAGAATCTCTCTTTCATCCATTCATTCAGCAGTTACTTACTGAGCACCTACTTTGTGTCAGGAACTGTTATAAAAATACATAAAGTCCCTTCTTCTTGAGCTCACAGTATAGTCAGGGATAAAGTAATCAACCAAACTGTTACAAAACCAAACATAAAGTTGCAACAAGGACCAGACAAAGCTATATAATTTTCAAGGGGGAGCATTGCAAATGAAAAATGGGTCTTGTGCCAAAAATTAAGAATTTCATGATGGTAGAAAGCAAAGAATTAACCAATCATCCTGCCTTTCTAAAAGCAGGGTGCTAAGCAACTACCTAGGCGACATGTCCATGAAGTTGGCCTCCTGATGAGAATAAAGGAGAGGTGTTGTTTGGTGATATAGAAGTTTGCAATAGGGGGCTTTGACCTAATAAAGGAAGGGCTTGTAATAGGAGGATTTGCCTTGATCAACAAGGTCTTTCCTGAAGAAATAAACCTGACCAGAACCTGTTCTAAAGGACAAGTGGAAAGATACAGGTGAAGAGGGAAAGAAAACATTCCAAATAGAGGGAACACGTGCAAAGGCCCTGTGGCAGGACAGAGCATTGGCAAACTTAAAGGAAATAAAACTGGCACGCCAGGAGCACAGAAAGCAAGGAGTACTATGGGATGAAACAAGGATAGAGAAGGAGGTAAAGGCTGGATGAGGCAGGGACTCAACTGTAGGTTCATAGTGAAAAGGAGTTCGCCTTTATCTTTAGACCAATCAGAAGCCATTTAAGGGCTTGACATCCTTTGATATCCTCCTCAAAATCTTTGTAAACACAAGAGGTCATATGGATTAGTCAACTAAATGAAAAAAAATAAATCAACTGGTCTCTAAATTATAT